TGAAAAATCAATCATCAGTTGTTCACAACTGTCATAAAAAATATTACTAAAAACTTGAATTTTACTTTTCTTAAAATCCTAGGACAATGTACATTTTGCTAAGCTGGTGTCCTTAAAATATTTTGGCTCATCTTGTGTAAAATTAGTCACAAAGTTTTTTAATGTGTATTAAATAGTTTCCAGATACATTGATAATTATTTTAGCTCTATCAAGCAGATTCCAAAATGAAAATACTGTAAAACATATAATCATGCTTATTTTTCCCAATCTTTAAAAAGATTCCTAATCAAACTGAAATTTGGAATATCCAATGCAATAAAGTTAGTTATTGATTAAGTTCATTCCGGTATTGTTACAGACATATGTGTCACAGTGTGTTGTTGTTTTTTGGTAGAGTACAATAAACTTTTTTCAATAATTTAGGAAGATTTCCATGTTGAAAAACTTGCTTTTTCCTAATTTTATCAGCAAAATTTCCAAAATGATGACTGAGACAATTTATCTTCTCATCAAAGGTTGATAAAGGGCTTGTTTATTTTGTTTATTTCTAGTAGCAGGGAAAAGAAACAATGTCATCTTCTGATGAAAATCAAACTGTTTTTATTTAGTTTTTAAAGAAAGTTATACAGGCTTCATGATCATGAATTAACACACAAGTCATATATTTAATAATAAAGTTATTTTATCAACCTTTTAACTTTCAACTTTTAAAATATCCAAAAATAGCCTCAATGTTTTCCCAATAAAGGTCTTTTCTCAAATTAACTAAATTTAGTCTCATATATTTTATAACCACACTGACACATTCTTCAGAATTTAACTGAACAACAGGATATTTGTTCTCACTTATAAAGTATTGAAAAATATTTCGGATAGGAAGCTGCTTTAGGTCTGATTTAATGTGACACAATATAGTACTGAATGGGAAAAAGGCAATTCTTAACATTAATATTTATATTCTATATGTACTCAAACAGAAATTTATACATTTTGATTTTACAATTACATGTAATTTTGTCCATTTCTTTTATTATTATTATATTGAATTAAACTGCTTTGTCTCTAAAATACTTATTCTTTACGCAATGTAAACTATGAAAGTAAATATATTTATGATTGAACTCAGATGAATGAAAGCATTATTAAAGCATATTTAGCATTATACCTTGGAAATGGCCATGTGCAGATATTCAATATCTCATCCCCATTGTTACTCTTGATATTTCTTAGATGGGGAGGGAGGGGGTTAATAAATAAGCAATAAATAGAGGAAGGGAGAGAGAGATTTAGACCATTATTCCATTGTTCAATGAGGATGTATTTTATTTATTAACCTTTTACCCCATGAGCATATTGCGAAAAATGGCCATTTTCACTGAAAAGCCTCCTGTAACAAGTTCAAACTGCTATGAAAGTATGAAAAATGCTTCAATACTAATGAAACTTGGCACAAATGTTGACTACACCATAGCCTCTGTAACAGCATGCTCAATGGTAAATTTCCTGTTACAATGGCAACGGGGGGACGTCTCAAAATTGCCAAAAATCACTATTTTGCATTGTTTTTTTTCCATCAAAACTGATTTCAAAGTGCTGCAACTTCTCAATGAATTGAGATACCGTAAAAGGCTTTTCAGCGTCGGTTACTAGCTACCCTAAGATCGACCTGAGGCCATTTTTAGCCTGTCACATGTCCAAAATTTTCTTGGAGATGAGGGGGACTCCGCCCCCCTTCAAACCCCCCAAACAGAACGGGGCACATCCCCCTTCTGGCAACCCCCTGATGTAATATTTGGATGGGGGACGGCGCCGAAAAGTGGTCACTTTTTTGAACAACATTTCTCAAACGAAAAACAGTGTTGGGGGTCTAAATAGGGCATTTTTTCACTGTTTGAGGCCTCAAAAGGGGGTGGGGGCAAAAAGCCGTCGAAACACGCTTATATAAGGGAAAAGGTTAAATAATTTTTTCAGACTTTCAATGTAGATAAAAATATTTTACAAAATTATAATATCTTAACAATAGATAGAACTCTAGAAAACATATTTGGACACTTTTTCATTTTTAACCAGTTATAGAATATGCACTTATTAAACTATATATAACTTATTGTTTATGGTAACAGTCATACACTATTCATTACATTATGTATATATATTGAGACCCTGGTTTACCTACTTCAATGACATATAGCCTATTCCTAAAGGTACTGGACTAGTATAATGTTGGCCAGTGACAGGTTCCAATCATTCATTAAGTGTTAAGTATTTTTATTTACAAGATCCATGTATTAGTAATAAATATATAAGATCTAAAAATTCCTAAACAACATCAATAAAAATAATTCAAAATTGAAGTAGAGGTAAATTAAAAATCACTTTTGATTGTTCATAAATTAATTAATTATGGTAAATTCAAGATGACATTTTTTTATAATTATTTTTCATTTAGTTTCTCCTCTGTTTAGTAAATTTACTGCTGGGAACCAAGTCAATTTTGCATTTGAGTGTTGTGACTAGTGAGAATTAAAGTTAAAACATGTTGAATGTTTAAAATAAAGGATGTCAGCCATACAGTCACAAGAAAGCAAAATGATTTTGTTTTCATTTATGTGTTTTTCATTTCATATATTTTGTTTGTTTGTTTTGTTGTTTTTGTTTTTTATTTATTTTTTTTTTTTGGGGGGGGGGGGGGGGGTAATTAGCAAGAAGTAGACCTATATTCTATTATTTATTTTGCTATAATATGGTAAACTTTCAGTAAAGCTCTCCTATCATGAAACATAGCTTTGGCAAATGCAACAAGATTTACCAAAGGTGACTGAAATGGTATTTAGTAACTGACACAGAAGTTTCATATATTATAAAGCGACACTATAGAGAGTAGTTTGTGGCAAAATCATTCAATAATTGCATCAGCTGTTAATCAAAATATCTTTGGTTCGAACGTTTTAGGTACGAATCTGATAGAAATATATGCGTCGATACTTCTGAATTAAATGATTCTTGTATGAAATTAGTTACATTCTAACCATTTTCTTCCCAGTTAACGAATGATTTTGATTAATAACATTATGTCAGCGATCATTTGCTCATTTGCAGTACATTTTAATTTGTAAACAAAGCCCATAGCAACCATGCAAGTTATTCGTACCTAAACACCAGTTCCGAGGTCATAAACAAGTTCATCCTACGTAAAAGTTATATTTTGTACATTTGTTTAATGATGATATATAATTAGTGTGGTGACAATTAACATCTTCATTTAAATTTGAACCGATTTTAACTCTACTATCAAAATTTTCGATTGTAATAAAAATGGAAGCGTAAACCATGTGTCAATTTTGACATATTCCGCGAAAATAACGTAACCGGATATAGAATTTATTGCATGTCGGGACTAGTATTGGTTAGTTTAACCAGTGGTTAATTTTAACCATTTTGGTTAGTTAACCTTTTGGTTATCTCGGTTTATACAAGTGACTAACCAAATTGGTTAGTTAACCAAAGTTGGTTAAATTTAACCCACGGTTAGCGTTTAACCCAGGGTTAATTTAACCAACGTTTATACAATTGGGTGCAGGAATACAATTTTCATTATCTACAAAAGAACAACAAGCAAAATGAACAGATAAGTAGTGTATTGCTCCATTCATTTTAGTATGTTATTCATAGAAGATTAGAATATTCCGCCCTGAAACGAACTCTTCTTTTGTGAGTTGGTGAAGTGATAAAATAAACCGATTATGAATTTCACGTAAGATAACACAAGGGAAATAAACGCGTTTCATTAATACACAGTAAACAATATGAGTTGCATCACTTAGAGCACTTTCATTAGTTTTTTATTATTCCTATTGAATATATATGTAAACACCATCCTGTATATTTGGAAGAGTTGGCAGCATGGCCTTCGTTATGTCAAGATGGTCTTTATTTACAAAATACACATGTGCCTAGCTAACATTTAATCATATGCCTGATAAAATATGTTGTTTTTTTTTCCGTTTCATTGTTAATAAAAGAAAGCAAATGATTTGTGGGTAACGGTGCTGCTTCTCAAAACAGGTATTGGGTTCGAGACCTACTTAGGTCACGCCTGTGTTATTTTATACTTCAATGGTACTGTTGAGTTACAAAGCGGCCTTGAGAGTGAGTGGTTCAAATTGGCTTCAGGGTTTTGTCAAAATTTTACCTAAAGTAAAGCAAATGAGTCAGCTTGTCTGTTTATATAATTATTATTTGTGTTTGATGTACCGCAACGAAATAAATGGAAACTTTTTTGTAATACTCGTTCCTACATTTTTTGCTAAATTCAAAACCCACCAGAAATCATGAAATAAAAAAATAAAAAGGGTTATCTCCTTTTCATGTTGTCTCAGGTTACTCTTCATTTTAAATACACATTGGTCGCCGTACAATGACTTACTTTTGGATAAAAAATCATATCTTTGGCTAAAATTCCTTGGAAATTGCATTACTTCGTGCTTTACAATTAACCCTTTAAGGGCCTGACTGATGACATGCCCGGAATTTTAACTCGGCAGCGAGAGCTGCTTTCTATACCTTTACGGCGGATGGATCTCATTAAGCATAGAACATACACACACAGAGACATTTTCATATTGAAATGCTCTCTAAATTTTACAATAAACAGATATAAACGTGATTGTACAGTTTTCCATAGCGAAATTGTATTGCGAATTTTCTTTATTAAGAATCATTTTATTTATTACATTGATATAAAATTAAGGTCATAAGTTTATTATACGATTTATCTAAAACGAATAAACGAGTGCTGGTATTCATTTTTCTCCAAACTGAACCGAAATTGCATTATTTCTTTATTTACGTAAATGGAATGACATTTGATTTTTTTTGTCAGTGGTATACAATGCAATCAATGGAAATGATATAACATATACAAAGTGTGAAAGAAACAAAACAGCAAGAATATAAACATAAAAAACACGTTAGCGTAAAGTTCCTTTTTCAAAATGTTTTATGATTTCACCAGTACACCTGAAAATGTATTCCAGTAGTAACTTGAAGAAGTTACTAATAAACTACTGCTGGAAGAACACTTTACGTACACTTTTGAATCTTTTTTAAGTACGGCAACAGTGTCTGTAGTGTAACATGTACTCCATTTCTCATCACAGAACCATCCTTTCTTTATTTCAACACCATCCGCAACTATTGCATAATACATATTTTTCCCACCATGAACACAAAACTGTACAGAAAACGTATATGTTCCAGCTACTGGTGCTGTGAATATCCCGCTCTTGTTATCATATCCGAGACCTTCGTTCAACGTCGTCGTCTTAAACACAAGTGTTTCTCCTAGACTTGGTGTTAAATCAACAAGGTCCTTACTTCTGAATGCGACTGTGGGTCCTAGATAAATGTAATTTAAATGTTTGTATTCAATATGTAGTGACAAAGTATGTTTAAATTGAAATATACATGTATATTATTGTCCAACAATACTGACCTGGCACTTCACTAACTTTTGTTTAAGTCATTGGATAACAACTGGTATCTAACGAATATATCCATAAAATAAATTTAAAGCCTCAGTGAGATATGGGGTATTAGTATAAATGTCGAGCTATGAATATGAAGGTCTCTGGTTCGATTCATAACCAACAACACGTTATGAAAATATACATTTTTTTTTCTAATTTACGTGCGAGAATTATTTTGGACTCGTTCCACTACAACTGGTTTTAGGATATTATTTAAAGTAGTTTTTTATACAATTATATTTTATTTTATTTCATTACATGATCTTTAATAAAAGTATAGCTTCTTTACAATACATATTAATCAATCGGCAAGTCGATTTCACTGGCAATGTCAGTCGTACTGCCCATACTGCTGTCCTGTTGATGAAGTTGTTTCCTTTGATTTATCGGGATGTTTCCGTTAACTTCTTGAACTTTGAAAAAAATGAATAGTTTTAAGGGCTTTGAACTTAAATGAAAACAAAAATTTGTGCAAACAAATTTGGAAGTAAATATTATAACATCTGACATTTTGGCTGCGTGCCGGGGCATCCGTGGCATGACAACACATTTCTAGTTCTAAATAAAGTATAATTCTAAATAGTTTTACCTTTCAGTTTTTCCATTTCAGCAGCAAAGGTCCTAACACTTTTATTGGTTTCTTCGATTAAATCGTTAGTTACACGTTTCAAATTTGTCCTTTCATTATTCCAGTCGTCTCTTAACTGATTGGTTGTTTCTGCCAGCTTTCCAAGGGCGTCAAGTACTTGCTGCTGAGTTGCCGCCATATCCGCCCGCAGTTTCTCCATGGCTATTTCCTGTCGAATCATTTTGTTTAAAGTTTGTTCCTCATAGTGAAATTTAGAACATTCTGGTTCGGAAAGCACTGCAGTGATAAACAGTAAAGCAACTAAACGTTGAAACATGTTTATATTTTGCCTCTTTCGAAGAAACGAATGCGAAATTCAAATGCGGGAGACTTTATGGGATACCAGTAATGAAATAACTTGACAAAGGGTTGTTTCGAAAGTTCTTATATCTGATTTGGGTTGGTTCATTCTTTGAGGAATTAGAAACGTTAAATGTTTATTATTTATTAATTGTTAATTTAAAGGTAAAATACCATTTTCCGATTTTATCCCATGCTTTGCTATCAATTATCACAAAATTCTAGTAATTTGTAATATCTTTTCCTTTAATAACAAATTGAAAATTTTTGTTGGCCAGTAGAATAGTTTACGTTTAAAGATTATTTGTTCATCATGATTTACATATTTTGCATTGCGAGTTATATGTTACTTTTGCAGTATTCCTGCAACTTTGAAATTCTATTTATCTTGTTGAGGCAAGATTCAGATAGTCATGATAGTTTATGATGTTTGAGGTGTTTGATTCATCATTGCTTATAACAATTAATCATTATAATGACCCATTATACCATTATATTGTAATTTTGTTATACTGGACAAAGTTTATCCTTTGCAAAAGACGATTACAGTGTTCTTTGTTTTTTCTGGCATAAAATGTAAATGATTGAGTTAATGCGGTGGGCAGGGCTTGATGGTATCTAGTTATTTGCCATCTATTGTTTTCTTTGGTACAAATACATGTAGACCTGAATATGATGTTTCTCAGATGAAAATCCAGTTGTGAATGAAAAGTTTCACGTTAGTGAACATATACTTTCTCTTTGTATATCAATATATTATTAACAACCCCCCTGATGGCTGCTAAATTTTTCTGTTTTCGTGCTACTTTTCCAAATCACATCTACATAACAAAACATTACATAACGTTTATTACATTAGATAGAACCTTTTTTGTGTTCCGTTTTTTTTGTAAAAGCGTTAATGTAATCATTGTTTGAAAAAGCACGAAAGGGTGGTGCAAATAATAAATTTGACGTCAATTTTGCGTTAATCAACAACAGAAACTTTCAAAGAAACAGGCAATCAGACAGTGGTGTTTTTCGTTTTCATGCTTTAGTAGGTTAACTTTTTCATTTTTTTTCGCATGGTTAAGAAAAAGTTTCATGTCTATTGAATTATGTTGTTTGTTCATGTTAAAAAACTTTAAAGACGAAAGATTTCATATATTGGCATGGCATTCTATAACAGCAGGGTAAAAGAAATAAAGAAAAAACTTTAGGAGAGATAGAATTTGTTGAACAATTTCATTAGTTTATCAGTTGCTTATTTCAAAAACTATTAATAGTCCTGTCAATTTTCATACTTCGTTTAAGACCATGGTGTAAAATAGCAGCATAAATCAGAAGGCGTTTCATTTCCAATTGATATTTTATATTTCTCCGTCACTAAGTAAATCATGTGTACAATATATATTACTATTACAAAAATAATAACCTAAAATGTGTTTTACCTGTTATGTTTTTGTAAAATTTAATCTAAAGCATCTTAACAATGTATATATTATTATTACACATACGACAATGTAAAATGATATTATACCCCGAGACAGGGACCTTAAGATGCTTGATGTCACTTGTTGAGTGAACAAAAACAACTGAAAGCATACAAGGAGGGGAAGTAACCGTGTCTCATTTATGCACAGTTTAATGTATTGGTTACATCCCTTTATATACTTTCATCTATCTCTTAGGTGAAACCTGCCTACTGTTATAAAAAAGTTTATTTATTTTCTCGGCGTTTTAGAGTGATTAAAATGCAAAAGTCTTCCACCCGCCTACAAAACTTATCACAAATTCGATGTGGTATATGCTACAGTTACTTAGAAAAAAACACCGTACAATAGAATTTATCAACATTTTGCATGATTTTAAAACATGATAACAGAAATATTTCAAGCGAAAAAAGTTCTTGGTCACCAAGCTCGTGTTCGAGTTATCTGCTCCTGAGTTTGAAAATATTACTTATTTCATTGGCAATTAATTCACAAGCAAAACCTTACGCTATTTTCTGTATAATAAATATCTTTGTCATTTGTCTTTGTCTCTCTACCCATCCATTTCAAACACGTGTTTTACGATATTCCTGGCAAACGTGACTTATTGACAATACCACAGTACTATAATCTACTATGTCTAGAGATTTTTTTTAAAATTTCCCCAAACCAAAAGTATATTGATCTTGTAAATTAAAATATTTAATCTGTTTGCTTTATCTTATTATATTTTAGCTACCAATCTTGTTCGTAATTTAGCATTATTTAGCTAAAGATATTTTTGATAATTATATAATAAAAATTTTAACATTTTTTCTTTCTAAACAGGAATCTTAGATAAAAAAAATGAAGAAAAATGTCGCAAAATTGGCTTTTGAACCCACGACTCCCATTTCAATGTTGTAATAATTCTCAATGGCCAATTATGCCCACACGAGGCATTATCAGTGTTGAACACCCCACCACACCATGTCCCTGGACCCCTGCTACAACCCTGAAAAAAATTATTTCACTTCTAAGGCTTACTATAAGATACTTAATACAAAACCACCCAATACAATTATATAAAAAATCACCAGGTGAAAAGTTTTTTTTTCAGGCTTTTAGCAGGGATCCAGGGTCAGGCTGTTATGAGGTGTCCAACACTGATACTGCCACCTGTGATCATGCCTCAGAAATGTATCATTTTTATTCAAGGAAAACATGTTACCAAAATATACTCATTTGTCATTTTAATTTTCTTTAGTTTTCTATTGCTCTGTTGGCAATTATTAAAGTGAATACATGGTTTGCTACCTTTACGCGACACATAACTGTACGTTCAGCCTCCTTTTCTCAAATGTCAACATCCCAAATACTCCAAGTCTATTATTCAATTATTATATAAAACATGTCTGCCATTTCTGAATAATTCAAAATATTCTATTTCTTAAGCATAATGTACAGTATTCCGTTTGGACAATCGTTATTTTATATTTCGTCCTTACCCGCGATGCAGGATGGTACGATGGTGAAGACGCGATGTTACGACGACACGATGATAAAAACACAATGGTATGATGGTGAAATCGCGATGTTGCGATGGTGACAATGCGATGTTATATCGCGTTAACACCATCGTACCATTGCGCTTTCCCCATCGTACCATCATGCCATCGCGTTTTTACCATCGTGCCATTGCGTTTTCAACATCGTGCCATCACGCTTTCACCATCGTACAATCGCGTTTTCACCATCATACCATCGCGCTTTCACCATCGTCCCATCGCGTTTTCAACATCGCGCCAACCTATCATTGCCTTTCGGCCAGTATGACCAGTACATATACAGAAAGATTTCAGATTCTGATACGGCAGACAGAAAAAAACAAGACTAGAATACTAACTATTTAATTTGAGTAAATCGATTAGAATAATTAAACCTGTTATTTTCACATTTAATTTTCCATTTGTGTCGTTATTCTGTATATAGGTCAAAGACTAATTAATATATGCTTAAATACGCTTAATACATGTATGAAACTATTCTCGTATCGGATATAGCTTGAATGAGTGTTTATGTGTGGTTTCTGTACCTTAAGTTAAATATGGAGTGATACCTTAAATATTTTCTTTTAACGGTGCACGTGTATTTCGTGGGTTAGTAGGGTATATATATAGTGTGTTCGCGGTTTTTCTTCACTCGACGCTTGCATTTGGTGGTACTTAAATAACCTGTTTAAATACGAAATTATGAGTGATGAAGAAAATCGGTATTCTCAGCCACGTGGAGAATCGTCATAAAGAGCAGAAATTGTTGACGAACTGAAGAATTATTTTGATTCTAAATTCAACGACTTCTAGAGGAGCGTTCAGACAGATACAGAGTGGATTGCAGAAGCTACAAGAAAAAAGGTTAGAAAAGATTCATCTGTTACTTTAAAGGGTTTATCTAACAATAAACAGTACCAATTCAATTGTGAACTTGATGATATGCTCGACAGTATTGATAAGGCTATTTCGCTAAGAAATGCAGGCAAAGCTAATGAGTATATTTCTGAAGCAAAACATCTTATTAAAAGTAGAAATAAATTGATCAGAATTGCTGACAATTCTCCTTCCGGTTGGGCCACCATACAAGAGTATGAGAAATTGGATGTGGCTAGCGATTCTGATGACGATAAAAGAATTTGTAAAGCTGAAGACCGGGCCAAAGCTCGTATCGAAAAGGCCTAATTGTCTACTTATTCTAACCAAAGCTCTCAGTTTAATTTTCGTAGCTTTCGCCGAACACCAGAATCTAGATTGGCCATGACTGGCGGATCCTCATAGCAGCAACAACTTCCCTCAACAGTCGTTTGCTTCAAGTGTGGACAGTTGGGACACATCGCATCTGGATGTACACATGTCAGAACCGGTCCATATACAAGACCCATTTGTACTTCAACAGAGTCAAGAGCACCTGAATGTCACAAGCAGGAAGTCAAGATTAATAAACAATTAATTACAAGACTCTTCTTTTGAATATGATAAGTATTGGTTTTTTGATAATTTGCACTCTAATTTTTCACATTTTTGTCATCACGAGATATTTTGTGAATATACAGAAAGTAGTATTAAAATTTCTGATTATTCAGTTAAAGGTCGATTAAAACATGCTTTAGAATTTTGGGAAACTTCGATACAACCTAACGATGATATTCTTAATTGTTCCTCCAGTTTATTTGATACCAATGGCTTTAAACTATTTATTATATTCTAAAGCAAATGGTACATTAGTAGCCCTTTACTGGCCTTCGAGCCCTTTTTCCCGATGATTTTTGGGGAAACATCAAATCTTAAGCAATTTGTTTGTGAAATACTTTTGTTTTATTATCCAAAGGATATATATGTTCAAGGAAGAAACAAAGCAACTATTTTTTGATCTACGTACTTTACTAGCTTAGTAATTGTTGCTAGAATAGAATGTTGTTAGTTTTGACTCATATAATTTATGTTTAATGATTGGTTAAAAGGTCAATTTTTTTTTTGTGAAACGCAATGCTATAATTAAGCATAATGAAATATTTTGTTTTATTATTGTTTGTCAATTTTACAGGCATTTTAACCAGTCAGCGTTGGTTAGATGTACAAGAAATGTGTAGATTTTTGCCTTAAAACCAGGAGCTTTTCTCAGAAGTGAAAGACGCTGTGATGTCTAGCAAAGAACAAACGATACGTAATTATAAATATTCTGTTGAAAAAAATTCAAAATGGTGTACGCAATAACAGTTTTCCTTTTTGCCTGCCTCACCTGTAACGGTAGCACTGTATTTAGTGTCTTTAATACAGTTCGAGAATGAGTGTTGTGGGAAATCAAAATTAAATACAGCGTTTTATGCTATTAACTCTGCTCACAAGTTAGCTTCTTTAGAAAATCCATGTAAAGACAACTGGTTAAAATTATGTTTGGAAGGTTGTGTCAGGAAAGTATGTCGACCAGTGCAGAAAAAACAATCTGTTTCTCCTGATATTTTGAAAAGATTATAATATACTTTTGCTTCTGGGAAATTTGAGAATAGTTACCTTGTGTTTTTTGTGTTACGCTGATTTTTTACGAATAAGTGAAGCCTTAGAACTAAAACGCTCTGATGAAGATTCTTTGAAGGACCTATTATCTGTGTCATTAAATCTTCACTTATAATTGACACTGTTATTAATCAATAGCCATGTGTTTTGAAGCTATTGCATTATATTGTGACTTGAAATTATCACATCAAATTGTTGTTTGAATTTATTTCATCAAATAGTGATTTGAAATTATTACTTTATATATCAGTGATTATGTTTTAACCTAATTTGAATCATTTGTAACAGTAAAAGTTTGATTTAAGGAGATTATATTTCTTTTCATTTCTGTTTTGAATATCTTTTTATATCGAATGCTTGCTTTAATCGAAGTGTTGCCCCTCGTTGGCGGAAGTGTTGCCCCTCGTTGGGCGGAAATGTTCCCCCTCGTTGGCGAAGTGTTGCCCTTGTTGGGCGGAAGTGTTGCCCTTGTTGGGCGGAAAAGTTTGCCTCTCGTTGGGCGAAGTGTTGCCCCTCGTTGGGTGGAAAGTGTTTCCCTTCGTTGGGCGGAAGTGTTGCCCCTCGTTGGCGGAAGTGTTGCCCTCGTTGGGCGGAAGTGTGTTGCCCCTCGTGGGCGGAAGTGTTGCCCCTCGTTGGGCGGAAGTGTTGCCCCCTGTTGGGCGGAAGTGGTGCCCTGTTAGGGTTTTATATAACTGTGTTATATAGTTTTACATTTTTCGCCTGAAACTACGAAACAAGTTTTAATCTTTTTAATCTTTTAATATTTATAAAAATATTTATACTATTTATGTTTTTTTTTTGGATATATTATAAACTATCAGTTTTTGGCGAAAAGTGTAATTAGATTTTCAGAAAAGCAGATGGAACTGACTTGACCACGTCTCGCATTGAGTCTCTGGTGTACTACAGTTTATACAGGCCTAGCTAAGAGATGGAAATACTCTGAACGGAAATGTTTCTGGTATATATGTTCTGGGTAAACATCATTCTTTTACTGATAATTTGTTTAAGAGATTCAATAATTTTATTTTCCGGACGTAATACCCTCTTTTGTTTGACTCGATATGTACTACCAAATATTAAGCGTTATTCCTATGTATTTGTTGTTGTTTCTTGCTATAGTAGATTAGAGGAATAATTGATTTACTCTCGACATAAAAGAGAGTAAATGAAATTATTCTCGTATCGGGATATAGCGTGAATGAGGTGTTTATTGTATGGTTCTGTACCTTAAGTTAAATATGGAGTGATACCTTAAATATTTTCTCTTTTTTTAACAGTGCACGTGTATTTTCGTGGGTTAGTGGGGGTATATAATTATATTAGTGTTTTCGCGGTTTTTCTTCACTCGACGCTTGCATTTGGTGGTTACTTAATAACCTGTTTAAATACGCCCCACCCGACCCCATCCCTTCTTACAACAAACGTTTTTGTAATGAAGTATTTTAATACACATTCTTGCTGAATATTTAGGCTTTTTTTCATCATTCTTCACATGACACACAAAAAATCTTTTTTTTTGAAATATAACTTATTAAAGTTGCATAATTTAATGAATTTTCTTTGTTTTAATGAACATAACTTGTTATTTAATATTTTAAGATAAACAATATAATTCTGTTTGTAATATTTTGTAACCACGTTTTCAGATCTTTTCAGTTTCGTTTCAGAGTTTCGGGATACAGCAACAATGCTATATTAATCTGATGAATCCCAAATACAAGAACATAACAGATACAGATAAATACCGATTGATTCTATTGGTTTGTGATATGTACTACCAAATATTAAGCGTTATTCCTATGTATTTGTTGTTGTTTCTTGCTATAGTAGATTAGAGAATAATTGATTTACTCTCGACATAAGAGAGAGTAAGTGCATTTTTCTTTTGCTGTATTTAAGATATCAACTTGGAACTTCATATGTACAGTACACTAGGATGACAACTTTAATCTTTCAAATACTTAGATGCAAAAGATACGCAAATAGAAAGGGTGTGGGGTTTAATAATGAGAAGACATACATTGTTGATTGCGCAAGGCCACCGGAAGACGATGGTACGATAATGAAATTGCGATGGTACGATGGTAAAACACGGTGTCACAATGGTGAAAAGGCGATGGTACGATGGTGAAATGGTGAAAACACGATGGTACAATGTTGAAAGCTATATGGTACGATGGTGAAAGCGGGATGATGAAAACGCGATGGTACGATGTGAAAGCGCGATGTTACGTTGGTGAAAACGCAATGATACGATGGTGAAAACGCGATGGCAGGATAGTGAACACGCGATGGCACGATGGTGAAAACGTGAAAGTACGGTGAAGAAAACACGATGGCGCGATATTGCGATGGTAAAAACTTGATGGTAAGATGGTAAAAACGCGAGTCTTTACTTTGAGACCACTCGCCGAGGCTGCAATATAATTGAAGTATACTTTTTGTGACATGGCAAGAATTCAGTATTTTGATAGTTCATCAGACCCCTCTCGTTCAATAGAACATGGCCAAACTTCTGAATAAAGACAGCGACAATAGCTATGTTGCCTTTGCACCCATTCCGTATTTTTCCGTAAATAATTACTTTGTAATATTCATCTGGAAACATCGTAAACAAGAAACGCGATGTAAATAAGACATGTAAACTTTATGAAGATTATTCCAGTATAAGTAGAATCTAGATAAAATATTGAGTAGTTATTTTTTTTTTTTCATTGAGTTAATAAGTCTTCAATTTTAAGCATTGTTGAATAAATAAAAATTTGAACTTTTGTTCGGCTCTGAGCATTTATATTTCCCTACTTGTTGGCCCCGGAAAAAATTTCTTTGTGAGTATGAATATCACTTAAGATAACAAAAGGGAATAAAATGCGTTTCATTACTACACAGTAACAATATGAGTTACATCCGTTAGAGCACTTTAATTTAGTTTTCATTCTTCCTATTGAAAATATATGTAAACACCATCCTGTATATTTGGAAGAGTTGGCAGCAGGGGCTTCGTTATGTCAAGATGGTCTTTATTTACAAATTACACATGTGTCTAGCTTACATTTAATTTTATATCTGATAAATTATTTTTTTCAATTTCATTGTTAATAAAAGAAAGTAAATGATTTGTTGGTAACGGAACTGCTTCTCAACACCGGGTTTGGGTTCGAGACTTACTCAGGCCACGACTGTGTTTTTTTTCGTATTTCACCTGTACTGTTGAACAACAGGAAGCGGCCACGAGAGTGAATGGTTCAGATTGGCTTCAGGGTTTTGTCACAATTCGAACTAAAATCAAGTAAATGAGTCAGCTTGTCTGTTTATATAATTAGTATGTGTTTTTGATGTATTAAACCCGAAGTAAATGTAAATCCTCTTTGTAATACTCGGTCCTAGGTTGTATTAATTCGCTTAATTCAAAATCCAAGAGAAATCATGAAATAAAAAGATTAGAAAGGGATACCTCCTTTTCATCTTGTCTCACATTACTGTTCATTTAGGTACACATTGACCGCCTTACAATGAATTACTTTTGGATGAAAATTCATATATTTGGCTAATACACCGTGGACATTACATGGAGGTAAATTATCCTTACTCCATGCTTTAATATTCACCCTTTAAGGGCATGACTGATAACATTTCCGGGGTTTGTACTCGGCAGCGAGAGTTGCTTTATATGCCTTTACGGCGAGGACCCTTATAAAGCATCGTACATATACACATAGAGACATTTTTATATTGAAAGTGTCTCTAAATTCTACCATAAAAAAGACAACAACGTGATTGTACAGTTTTCCATACCAATAGTGTATTATCAATTTCTTTATTTAGAATCATGTTATTTATTACATTGAACAGATATGTTATTAAGGTCATAACTTTATTATACTATTTGTCTGAAAAGAAAAAATCGAGTGCGTATATTCATTCTTCACCAAACTGAACTGAAATTGTATTATTTTCTTTATTTAATTAATTAAATGTCATTTGATTTATGTCAGTGATATACAATGCAATCCATGGAAATGAAATAACATATACATCATGTGAAAGAAACAAACAAAAACAAGAAAATAAACATAAAATACATGCTAGCGTAAAATTTCTTTTCCAAATTAAAGTTTTATGATTTCACCAGTACACCTGAAAATGTATTCCAGTAGTTACTCGTAGTTACTAAAAAACTTCTGCTGTAAGAACACATTACGTATACTTTTGAATCTTTTTGAAGTACGGCAACAGTGTCTGTAGTGTAACATGTAACCCAATCTTTATCACAGAACCACCCTTTCTTTATTTCAACACCATCTGAAACTATTGCATAAAACATATCTTTCCCACCAGAAACACAAAGCTGCACAGAAAACGAATATGTTCCCGCTACTGGTGCAGTGAATATCCCGCTCTTGTTATCATACCCGAGACCTTCGTTCAACGTCGTCGTCTTAAACACAAGTGTTTCTCCAGGACTTGGTGTTAGATCAACAAGGTCCTTACTTCTGAATGCGACTGTGGGTCCTATAAATATAATACCACGTGTGTAAACAATATGCGGAGACAAATATAAGTAAATTAAAATATATGTCACAAATAGATTTTAAATTTTTGTCCGTCTTTACTTTAAATTTATCATTATTTACTGATTCTCTAAAAGTTAATACAGGATGAGATTAAACTTGGTAATTAGCATACTGACCATCGATGTATTAAATGTATTATAGACCTTTTTAGCAAACGGGTTTTCAATAGTGATGCATTTCGCATTTCTCGCATGCGTATCTGCCTAGGGCGGATGACTACAACATATCATACTTTAATGCTTAAGTAGACTTGATTTTAAGTTATGTCATCCAGAAAACAGTAATTTTGGGAAAACTTAAAGTGGTTATTACTCAAAACGTGAATTAATATTCATAACAGATATACGAAAATATGCGGGACTAATAATTCGGTGATAAAAAACATGATGGAAAGCATACAAAAGTTCATTGTTTAAGGTATCATTTTACGACTTTAGTTTTAGTAATTTAAATTGAAACAGAAAGGTGTTAATGATAAAAATTAATTACCAATGTATAGCATAATATTACACACTTGGTATTGCATGTTCACTTGTAAGTGGATTGGCAAGACGGTTAGTGTCAAACAGAATGATACGTGGTCGGTAGTTTATTTACAGCTAATTTACAATATCATTCAACCGGGGCATTTTAGAACAATGACATAAAAATCACGTAAAATTATGAAAATCGTACTTTTATATATACCAATCTCATCAAGTTTTTTTTTTAATTTGTCAAGTGACAAAAAGTGTGACGTGAATTTACATGTGTTACGAGGAACCGTAAAATAAATGTGTTATTTCACTACCCATCTTACTGTTTCATAAGATTTTGAAAAAAATATTTAGATATATTGATGTGACTTAAATAATTACGTAATGTGAACCAAAGGTTCCATCGATGTTTTCTGACAAGCACAAGTAAATATAGATGTAGTTTGAATAACTAACTTTAAAAACGTTTTAAGGAATATAGACTTGTTGTTGAATGCAATGCATCTCTATCTGTTTTCTCTGAAGATTGCAACTGAAGCAAATTGTAAGTAAAATATAACTTTAAATAATTCTACCTTTAAGTTTTTCAATTTCTGCAGCAGCAAAGTTTCGAACACTTTTATTGGTTTCCTCCGCCGACACATTTGCAACATGCTCCAATTTTATCTTTTCATTATTCCAGTCTTCTCTAAGCTGCAGGGTTGTTTCTGTTAACTTTCCTAGGGCATCAAGCACTTGCCGCCGAGTTGCCGCCATATCCGCCTGTAGTTTTTCCATGGTTATTTCCTGTCTAATCATTTTGTTTAAAGTTTGTTCCTCATAATGGAATCTAGAACATTCTGGTTCCGATAGCACTGCAGTAATAAATAGTATAGCAACTAAACCTTGAAACATGTTTATATTTTGCCTCCCCTATCGTCGATAAAGTGGAAAAATTCAAATGCGGGAGTCTTTTATGAGATATTTGTAATGAATTAATTTGTAGAAGGGTTGTTTCGCAAGTTATTAAATCTCTTTTAGATCGGTTCATTCTTTTAGGACTTGACTGTTCAATGTTTTTTATCTAAATAATTGTTAGCCTAAAATAACATGTTCTGATTTTATCCCATTCTTTCATATCAGTTTTCACATAATGCTTGTAATTTATTTGTTCCTTTCATAAATTTATTGATTACTGTTTCATAATATTTAGTTTGGCTTATCACATTGTGTGTTGATAACATTGTAAAAATGAGAACAAAGATCAATAAGACAGGGCAACGTTCACCGACACAAACTAACCACGCATATAATTGCACAACTTTCTTACATAGAAGAATCCAAAGTCCATTTCATGACTCAAACTCACAGCGAAGAGGTGCAAGTTGTCAACAACCGCAAGTCAACAACCTTAACCCAGTGTGGCCATACCACGTGACATTGACGTCATTTTCGGCATCATTTCCAAGACAAATATTGCTCGATTCGGACAAGAAAATAGTCATAAATATTTTATTTCTGTACAAATTTCTTTGGGATATGCACCAGTCTACGGGGAAAAATATAAGCTTTCCACAGAATATTGGATATTCGTCAGTTTATAAGCCATTTCATCAAACACTTTGCATAACCTTGAACGTTGCTTGTATTAGAGCGGGCTTCAGTTGCAAGCTATTTCGTTTTCTGGCGTTATCTGGTCTACGCCATGAATAAAAAGTCAGGTTTACATCAACCGGGAGTACGGAAGGCAATACTCTACCTAAATATGTTCATATTTTTATTATGAATGACATAAATCTTACATTTTTCTTCAATTGTCAATTCTGGCACCGGTTCCAAGTCGAAAAAAAGGACTACAGTTTAAAGCAGATTTTAGAATTCGTTGCAAATGCGAAGCAACATGCCTACCGTTCTCTTTCTACAATTTAGTTTATCATTTTTGATCTTTCACAGAGAGATTGTGAAAAAACTGATTGTTCCTTAAAGCAATAACACTTATACTTGTATCGCAATAGTGCACGTCAAATCACTTAGATTTAGTCCTGTCGGAAAATAATATTTTGGTTTCGTTTTGAAGAGGTTTTAAGTATTGCTCATCTTATATATCCTATGTAGTAAAATGTGTTTTATTCTATTTCACAATGGCGAAAGAAAATATATGTGCTCTCAGTGAGAGAAAGAGTTAAAATAAAAAAACACGTTTGTATGCTATGGAAAGGGTTACACTTTAACGCGAGTGTTGTAAAGCTAAAGGTATTTTTTCACTTTATTTTTGTCAAGAGTTACTGACAAACACTGACACTCGTGAAAGTGACAAATAGGTTTTTCTGTCCTCAAAAGAGAAACTTTTTAAAGATTTATATTTTTTCTGGAATTGTTGTATAATAAATTTCTATAGAATTTGATAAACGAAATCACAATTTGAACTTGGAACTTTGCCGTGTAAACCTGATAGTATTGTTACTTAGTTGCATTACTTATGATTCTTTATTTATCAAAAAGACCTAAAATAGCCATGAATAAGAACGAGAATGGACGCCATGTGGAGTAAACAAAGTAGAAAATAGTAAACAGATAAATGATTTTACAAACCAATAGCCATCGATCACAGTCAAATTTCATGAAAACAAAACATTCAAAAAGACGGAAATAACAATGATTATCAATAATTATATAAATATTTACATTAACATCTGTAATAGCAACATCGGCAAGATCTAAGACTAGGGTCCATATGACACTGATGCGTCCATTGAATAATTGATAGCTAACATAAGCTTACTAAAATTGCGATTACATTTGAAGAGTATATTCAATTTTTATCCTTCAACTGTCAAATGACTTACTGCTTTATTTACATATCAGATAATTCACTTATTTAGTATATGCGTCATGTTTATCTTGTTTTAGATTTTAATGTGTGGTCCGTTTTTAAATCTTAAAATGCTACAAAAAGCCAGTTGAGGACATCTGCAGGTCATGCCGCGTGTAATAATCCATGCATTTACAGCCAATGACCACATCGATAAGAAATAGTCCCAAATATCCCTATCGTTTTTATTCAGTTGAAAGAGACATTATTGTTAACAAGGTTCTACTCGATTTAAATGTTTTCAAACCATAAATATTCCGTTCCCTTCCTCTCTTTATGAACAATGTTTATGAACGATGTATATTGGTGAGCTCTCTGATAAAGCTGAGTTGACTGATATAATTAACTAAATTTGTCAGATATGCAGTTTATCAACAGAAATAAATGCAATTATAAAATAGATAGAATTTAATAGTGTTCTTAAGTTAACGAAGTTATATCCAGTTCACAAAAAAACGGTTACCGTGGGTATGAAAACAGGATGTAAAAATATTTTTTTATCAACGAGTGCCACTGTGTTAAAAATCTGAATCTATCATACTAAAACATTGCTACAGGTTCTTTATATATACATGTATATGGTTATACGTATAAATAGCTCTTTAAAAATTGCCGTGTTGAGGCGTAACCCTTATTCAGAGCACACAAATCGAAGTGATCCTGAATGTGCACGTTCATTGGACAGGCTAGCTAAGTCAATCAACATTTTCAATTTTGCCGTTTTGGGCGATATTTAGGGTTTCTGTTTTCTATTCCACGTTTAGTATTGCTACATGCTTTGCATTTGCAACGGATTCTAAAATCTGCTTTAAACTGTAGTCCTTTCTTTCGACTTGGAACTGGTGCCAGAATTGACAATTGAAGAAAAATATAAGATTTATGTCATTCATAATAAAAATATGAACATATTAAGGTAGAGTTTTGCCTTCCGTACTCCCGGTTGATGTAAACCTGACTTTTTATTCATGGCGTAGACCAGATAACGCCAGAAAACGAAATAGCTTGCAACTGAAGCCCGCTCTGATACAAGCAACTTCCAAGGTTATGCAAAGTGTTTGATAAAACGTCTTATAAACGGACAAATATCCAATATTCTGTGGAAAGCTTATATTTTTCCCCGTAGACTGGTGCATATCCCAAAGAAATTGGTACAGAAATAAAATATTTACGGCTATTTTCTTTTCCGAATCGAGCAACATTTGTCTTGGAAATGATGCCGAAAACGACGTCAATGTCACGTGGTATGGCCACACTGTAACCATTAGACCAAGAATATCCCTAAGACGATAATTGAGACACCTTTAGCTAAAAATTTAAAATCTTTCCTGGCCTGTAGAGTGGTTTACGTTAACAACTTTCTTTTTATTTCTGGCATAAACTGTTAATGATTGATTTCATGCCGTGTTTTGTTAGCCATCTATTGTTTTCTGTGGTACAAATACATGTAGACCTGAATATGGTGTTTCTCAGATGAAAATCCATTTGTGAATGAAAAGTTTCACGTTAGTAAACATCTACTTTCTCTTTGTATATCGATATATTATTAACCATCCCCTTGATGCATGCTTATTTTTTTTCATTTTTTCGTGCTACTTTTCTAAATCAACGTTTATCACATTAGATAGAACCTGTTCTTGTGTTACATATTTTGATATAGTGTTAATGTAATCTTTCATTATTCTGAAATTGCACCAAAGGCTGGCGCGAATGATAAATTTGACGTCAATTAACAACAGAAACTTTCAAAGAAACAGGTTCTAATCAGACAGTGCTGTTATTCGTTATCATGGTTTTGTAGGCTAATTTTTTCATCAATTTCATGTGGTTAAGACAAAGCTTCATGTCTAGTGAATTATGCTGTTCGTTCATGTTAAAAACTTTAAAGACGAAGGGTTTTATAAATTGGCATGACATTCTACAACAGCAGAGTGAACAAAATTAAAAAAACTTTGGCAGAGATGATTTTTTTCAATAACAATTTCCTCAGCTCATCAGTTGCTTATTTTTAAAAAATACAAAACTTAGAAGTACTAATCGTTCTGTCAATTTACATACCTCATTTGAGACCATGGTGAAATATACCACTTTAAATCAGGAGTCGTTTTATTTTCAATTTATATGTTATATTTCTCCGTCACTGAGTTAATCATTTGTATAATATATTACTATTACAAAAATAATATCCTAAAATATGTTAACATAATTATGACACCTGTTATCTTTTTGTAAAATTTAATCTTAAATCATCTTAACAATGTATATATTATTATTACCCATACGACAATGTCAAATGATAATATACTCAATGGCAGGGACCTTTTGATACCTGATGTCACTTGTGGAGTGGAAAATAAACTGAAAGCATACAAGGAGGGGAAGTAACCGTGTCTCATTTATGCACAGTTTAATGTATTGGTTACATCCCTTTATATACTTTATCTATCTCTCAGCTGTTATAATAAGTTTATTTTCTTGGCGTTTTAAAGTGATTAAATTGCAAAAGTCTTCCACCCGCCTACAAACTTATCATAAATTCAATGCCGTATATGCTACAGTTACTTAGAAAAAAATACACCGTACAATAAAATTTATCAACATTTTGCATGATTTTAAAGCATGATAACAAAAATATTTCATTTCAAGCGAAAAAAGTTGTTGGTCACCAAGCTCGTTTTCGAGTTATCTGCTCCTGAGTTTGAAAATATTACTTATTTCATTGGCAATTAATTCACAAGCAAGACCTTACGCTTTTTTTCTGTATAATAAATATCTTTGTCACTTGTCATTTGTCTTTGTCTCTCTACTCATCCATTTCAAACACGTGTTTGACGATTTTCCTGGGCTAAGTGTGACTTATTGACAATACCACATTAATCTACTAAGTCTAGAGGTTTTTTTTATTTCCCCCAAAGCTATCAAAGTATATTGATCTTGTCAATTAAAATATTTAATCTGTTTGCTTTTATCTTATTATACTTTGAAAATATCAACTACCAATTGTGTTCGTAATTTTAGCATTATTCAGTTAAAGATACTTTTAATAATTATATAATTAATATTTTAACATTTATTTTCTAAACCGGACACTAGGATATAAAAAATGAAGAACATATGTTGCTCAATAGGTGTTTGAACCAACGTATCCCATATCCCGTATTAGTTCTAGAATATTTAACGGCCCATCATGCCTCAGAAATGTATCCTTTTTATTTAAGAAAAAAAAAACATGTTACAAAAATATAATCATTTGTCATTTAAACTATCTTTAGTTTTCTATTGTTCTGTTGGCAATTGGTATTACTATTATAGTGAATTGATGTTTTGTATGGAAGTCAAAATACTAATTTGTTTCTTTTTTGCTACCTTTACGCGACACATTTCTGTACGTTCAGCGCTCCTTTTCTCAATCGTTAACATCCCACATACCCCATGTCTATTATTCAATCATTATATAGAACATGTGTGCCATTTTAAAAATATTCGATTTCTAAGGCATAATGTGCCTTTAAATACTTTTTAAAGTAGAGCTAGGCCAAGAAATTGGAGAAAACTTCCTTAACATACCACATTGTTTTAAGTAAAAATAAATGAGGGTTGTTTTAGATACATTTAATTTAAGATATTTTGATCCAATTAACAGAATGAGGGTTAAGAAATCACACAAGACTAAATCATCTAATATTGTGGCATCACGTTTGCTTTTATAATAACTGAACATTTACGGAAAAATACCGCGATGAACAATCATTCTGTGCTTAGCTACTTTTTTCTACTTTTTTACACTTAAATTAAAAGGACAATAAATATTTCTGAATAAAACAAAGTTTCCAATACTGTTTGAAGAAATTTTATAATATAGACAATAATAAGGAAATAAAACAAAGAGAAATAGAAGTAAAGTTTGACGCTCGTTGTATTCGATTCCCCGTCGTTGCCTAAAACAAATACTCTTCAGTAAGGAGGTATCATGTTAGGAAGGTTATACCTTTAAAACATTTACTAGAATATTGTTCTTAGGCTAGTTAAAGTCTTTAATGTTTTGATATTTTACAAAACTATTTTTAAAAGCATTTTAACTAAAATAGATAAATATTATTTATGTACATATTATGCAACAGTCGTTAAATTTAAGATGATATAAATGTGAAAGTTTGTTCAATGAAAAAAGATATTACAAATGTACAGGAATACAATATTAATTATCTACGAAAAACAACAACAACAACAACAACAAGTGAAATTAACAAATGCAGTTTGAGTATGTTAGTTACAGAAGATTAGAATATTTCCCCTGAAGTACAATCCAATCCGTTGTAAGTTTGTGTACTGATGAAATACACTACATTACAATACAATACAATAAATTTATTTCGATATTTCGAGTAAAACCACCAAAGTTAAGTAAATTTATAGATAAAAAAGTAAACAATACATCTCTTGTTTTCGTTCACTTCTAAAACCACGTGGTAGAACTACTTTCAATACAAATTTAGTTCGAGGTTATTTTGAATGACAGGAGAGGTGTTCAGATTTGGTTCAAAGATACAGTATTTATAGCATAAGAAACATTCCTTAGAAGTATTCAAATTCCGATTATCATTGTTACTGGATGATATGATGTTCGATCTTAAAAAGCAAATTCCAGGGGAAGTAATCTATTGAAGCAGTAACATCCTTTAGAGTTGTTGAGTTCCACTTATCGACTTATTTTCTTTTATTATTTTTAGGCTTTATAATTGCTTCTTCTTGAAATATTTCAATCACAGACGAGTACATAGATGACACTAAAGGAAATTCGAATGGACAATTCGTTTATATTGTCTACGTTTTAAATGATTGTAGCAGACAGCTTGGTATCAAACTGACCTACCAATTTTATCAAGATGATTTTTATTGACATATTATATAGATGATGTCTTTATTCAAGCGTTATCGATTTACAAATGGAGCGGAGACCAAATGGTATATATGTCTGCTTCTAAATCTAGGGATCATTTGGTCGGGAACTACTTGGGCAGCGACGATGTTTCCTCATACCACACTAGTGGTATTCAGCTTCAGGAAGGGACATTGAGAGGAGGGTCCAAAAAGGGTTTAAGCTTTCATCTTAAAGGCTTAAATTAAGGTAAACCGTTTTAGTTTAGCTTCTCGGTACATAATTTGCAGTTGTATTTATTCCTTCATACAATAAAAACATGGATACCTTTGTGTAAAGATCTGACTAGTGTTCATATGTCTGTTGTTTTTAAAGTACAAAATCCGTCATAAACATAACTATGTATTCCACTAAAAGATTGTTTGTTTCAAAAACAACAGCAAGCAGCCGGTTTCAAATAAATTAGCATACACTTACATCATAAAATAAAGGTTTTGTTTGTTTGTTTGATTGGGTTTCACGTCACATCGACACAGTATAGGTCATATCGCGACGTTCCCCTCCGTGCATAATTACAGGCACGAACGGGAACCTGAGTAGAACCGCCGACGTTCCGTAAGCTAGCCGGATAATATAAAGGTAATGTCACTTATATGAAATATACGTTGTAAAAACAATTGAATAAAAATCAAATGAAAGGAGGTAACACATACTAAGTATATGAATAAATAAATAACATAACAAGTGTACGTTATCCATTTAATGTTTTAATTCTAAATCAAACACAGCAGAACATCGTGGTCAATAATATACGTTGAACAGTTCGTTGTCAATAAAACAAATAATGGCAGTAATGCATACAAGCGTTTTATTACAATTATATATATATCGTACAAAAGAACCTACATTGAAAGGACAATAGACTAAATTCTGTTAAAGAGGGTAATGCATGCGCGAAATTATCTATATTTTGTAATTTAACATTAAATAATTTGTTCGACATTGTTTTATTCAGTATTCTACAATAAATAATACGTTTGTATTTAATAACAGAAAGACATTTAAAAAAAAAAAACAATCTCTGGATATGACTATGAATATGACAACGGGAATGCACAGTTTTTCTCATTATATATTTCATCTGTTCTATATTATTTACTAAGTGTAACCGGTTATGCCATATTATTTATATCAATGAAATACATTGAAATAAATGTAAGTAAAGTAACATTTTTATTACTCGCGTGAAATATAGACAACAATAATTTACATCAATAATATGTCCCATGATTCACGTATAAATGAGAGATTCTTGGCATTAAAATCCTGTATCTTTGTAATTGGTTTTGAAATAAAATCGATTCGAACGTTTAAATGTTAGGTAAAAGAACAATACATAAATAAGTGTCCATGAAAAATGATACATTTGTTATATGAAATCGATGTAAAATAAGAAAGCCAATTTAAAGTAAAATATTAGTAAAGGCACTGGACAGGGATTGACATCTGGAGCTGTAATTGACATGAAACAAAAGAAATATGTTACATGTTCATATTTCGATACACTCTGATTAATACTGTACAAAAATATTAGTGATATAATCGTCTTAACACTATAATGAAAATTATGAAATGATGTAATTATAATACATGTAAACGTCACGTTCCGCTTTCAAAATAAAAGTCGTCTATGACTTCAAAAGTACACCTGAAAATGTATTCCAGTATACGCCGGAACTGTGTAATCGACATGGAGATGCCAAGCATTTTACCTGCACGTTTGAATATTTTGCTAAAACAACAACAGTGTCTGTATTGTAACAAGTAGTTATTCTGGTATCATAGAACGATCCTATTTTTATATTTTCATTATCCACAACTAGTGCGTAAAATAGTTCATGACTTCCTTCTACACATAACTGGATTGAAAACATGTATGTTCCTGCTACAGGTGCTGTGAATATCCCTGTCCTGTTACTATAGCCGAGACCTTGGTTCAAAGATGTCGTCTTAAACACAAACGTTTTACCTGAGGTCGGTGATAAGTCTGCTATGTCATTACTTCTAAATATGACTGAATGTCCTAGATTAAAAGAAAGTCAATGTATAAAGTAGAATGTTTACAGTATGGACAGAATTGCAACAAACACTTGAAAAGCTTTCATTGAAAAACATATAGCCGGTATTTGATTTTACTTTTCATGTTTTTTTTTATTTCGCTTTCCTATCTCTTACAGAAAACCGTGAGATATAGATTTGAAGTTGTCATTCCGGACAATTTTCCTTCCTATTGTTTGTCTGTCCGTTCACCTTTACGGCACACTGACTTGATCAACAACATTTTCTGTTAGAAACATAAGCGCCCTTTTGTACTTCCGTCTTTTAATGTTTGTGTTGTATTAGTATTACACTTCACATATTGATAGCTCTCATTAAAGAAAATGTATTAGTATTACACTTCACAGATTGATAGCTCTCATTAAAGAAAACTTACAGTGAAGGACCGTCTGCATACTTTTTAAGTTAGTGACCCTTTTTGACTTTTTTCGTACTTGTTGATGCACTTCGTAAGTTGGTCTAAAACATTTCATAAAGTAACTACGATATATTTAACTGTAGTTTCATGCTTTTAAATGGATGACCAAATGACATTAATAAATGTCAAAGTAAATGTCGTTACAGTCTTGAAACGTTGTCATTTTGCCTGCAACCGCTCATTTGTCGTTTGCTTTGTAGCATTTTAATGCTTCAAGATACGAAATATTATTAAAAAGGTCGCTAAACACGGCATAAATTAGAAATGATTAGAACATGTACGTCCATTAACAGGCTCAATAAAACCGACCCTGTAAAGCATTCAATTTGGCCGTTTCAAGGTTTCTTTTTTTAGAAATTGGTTATTTTTTTTCTTCTCTGTTTAACTGAGAATGTTTATAGAATAGAAGCTGCCGCTCACTTTCTATACCACTGCCACGATTATTTTCAAAGTTTGAATAAAATATATGTTCATATAACATTATACGTGTATTTTGTTACATAGCATGGAATCAAGCATTAAAGAATGTGTATGTCCTTGTCGAAACAAAACAGTAAGTGAAACTTAATTAAATGAATAATGAAAGAATTAGAGTCTGCATATCACTGACAGCTGTCAAAGACAAATTTTAAAAGAATGTATATAATTCAAAGAGAAATTTTAATTGTTTGAGAACAAAAACAGTTCTCTTTAATTAGGAGCTTGACAAGAATGCCTAATCTAAAAGTACAGTATGATTTTAAGAGAGATACCTTTCAGTCTTTCTATTTCAGCAGCAAAGTTCCTAACACTTTTATTGTTTTCTTCCATCAACTCGTTAGTTACACGTTTCAAATTTGTCCTTTCATTATTCCAGTCGTCTCTTAACTGCTGGGTTGTTTCTGTCAACTTTCCTAGGGCATCAATCACTTGCTGCTGAGTTGACGCCATATCCGTCTGCAGTTTTTCCATGGCTATTTCCTGTCGAATCATTTTGTTTAAAGTTTGTTCCTCATAGTGAAATTTAGAACATTCTGGTTCAGATAGCACTGCAGTAATGAACAGTAAAACAAATAAACGTTGAAACATGTTTATATTTTGCCCCTTTCGAAGAAACAAATGTTCTATTCAAATGCGGGATACTTTTATGAGGAACATGTAATGAAATAATTTGTTAAAGGGTTGTTTCGCAAGTTAAACTATCTGATTTTGGTAGGTTCATTCTTTGAGGAATTTGGAATCATTCAATTCTTTTTTAAGTATCAGTTATCACAAAATGCTTGTGATGTATTTGTATCATCCAATCCTCTAATAATTATATTTATTTTATTTTCATTATATTATGTTTGGCTTCAATGACATTGAGTGTTGATAAAATCATTGTAAAAAAATGAGAAAAATGATCAACAAGGCAAGGCAACGTTCAACTAGCCACGCCAATAACTGCATAACTTTCTCACAAGAAAGAATCTAAAGTCCATATCTTAAACTCATAGCGGTGAGGTGCAAGTTGCTTAAAGTCAACACTCTTAACCACTCGACCACGGATGCCTCTACGCCGGTAACTGACACACCTTTAGTTTAACATCTTTGCCATATTTGAATACAATACCGGTCAGTAAAATAGTTTACTTTAAAAGATTCTTTGTTCATCTTATTTTAAATCGTTTGCATTACGAGTTATGTGTTTGTTTTCAGTTTGCTTTTGTTTTCTTTCAGCATTCCTGCAACTTAGACATATTATTTATCGTGTTTACGTCAAATTCAGATAGTCATAACACAAGTGATGGTGTTTGAATTATAATTGTTTATAGCAATAAGTCATTATATTGACCCAATATATTGAGTTTTGTTATAATGGAAATTCATATTCATACAGTTTATACCTTACAGCGGCAGACAATGTAAATGATTGATTTCATGCTGTGGGCCGGGATTAATAGGATCATGTTATTTGCCATCTATTGTTTACTTTGTTAAGAATACATGTAACCTGAATACTGTGCTTTTTTCTCGGACGTATTTCATTTATGAATGTAAAAAATTCATGTAAGTAAACATATACTTTCTTTTTGTACATAGACATATTATTAACCACCCCCTTGTGGCTGCTTAATTTTTCTGTTTTATGCTACTTTCATAAATCACATCAACGTTTATCACATTAGATATAACCTGTTCTTGTGTTACATATTTTGAAATAGTGCTAATGTAATCATTTATTATTTTGAAACAGCACCAATGTATGGCGGAAAAGATAAATTTGACGTCAATTTTGCGTTAATCAACAACAGAAACTTCAAAGATACAGATTCTAAACAGACAGTGCTGTTCTTCGTTATCATGATTTTGTAGGCTAACTTTTTCATCAATTTTACATTTTAAAAAAAGCCTCATGCCTACCGAATTATGTTGTGAGTTCATGTTAACAACTTAAAAAAAGGATTTTCATAAATGTCTTTTCAATTACTTATTTTGAAAAGCTAAGAATTGTTTATCGTCCTTTCAATTTCAAAAAGCAGAATATGATCAATCGGATAAAACATTCAAGAGGTTTTAATAGTTAAGAAAATCCCAACTTATATCAGTATCTACTTATACCAGAAGACATCTTGTTTCCAATTATTTTTTTTCTCTATTAAACGGTAATTCCAATGTGTACAATATTTTACAAAAAGAATGACTTAAAATTTATTTAAATAATTAAGTCATTATAAAACCAGTATTCTTTATTTTTTAAATCGCACTGAATCAAATCGAATGGCATCTTTGCAATATGCATATCATTACATGTATTACCTTTACGACCATGCATAATATTATTATACTCCAAGACAGGGGCCTTCTGATAGCAATAGCTACTTGTTGAGAGGAAGCTTACCAGAGGGGGAGTAACTGTGTCTCATCTTTACACAATTAAATGTATTGGTTGCATCCCTTTACATACTTTAACTATCTTTTATAATTTTATTGTCTTAAGGCCCTGTCTACACCTATCCAAGTCTTGAATGCAAGTATCATATTTTCTTGTATTGGATAGTGTAGACACCCTACTTGAATGGTTTTTAAAGAGAAATTATGTGACATCCATGAAGATAATTTCTTGCAAGAAAATTAGAACAGGTTCTATTTTTCTACAAGTTTTTGGCTGTCAAGACACTGATTACACCAGTTTGACACAAAACATGTGCCCGAAGGTTTGATAGTGCTGTTATTTTCATTTTTTTCTGACTATTCAGTGTACATGCCCTTTGAATTACAATGTATTTGTCAAAGGAACAAATCAATACGCTGATAAACAAAAGAGCAACAAAATAAATAAATAAATAAAAATAAATTCATTGTAAAAAAAAAATAAAAAAGAGCTCTTTTTCAAGTAGAGTCAAAATGGATTTAAAATGATCTTGTTCATTTAGTGAATAACTTTCATCAAATAAAGAATTTGCATAAAAATAAATTTTTGTCACATTTTCTCAATTTTTATGAATTTTTAAGAATGTACACATTTCATTTACTCCATTGTTTTAGCTAATTGCATCAGTTTTCCGCTTTTTTTCACATATTTTACAGAAACATGATAGTATTGCAAAGACAAAGGTATAAATCCAGGGCTATCTTAACGAGACATTTCAGTAAAAATTGTGCCTGAAAAAATGTTGAAATGGCCATTTATTTAGCTAATCTAAATGTGACATGTAAGAAACTTGAATAGGTGTAGACGCGGTCTTAGAGATGAAGAGCGTGTATTATAGCGAAATTGTCTCACTGATGTAGTCGAGGATACTTCTACGGCTTAAGCTTCTCGGTGAAATATTTCATTCAGTCAAGAACGAGAACAAAGAATGAACTTAAAATTTTTCACGTGGTAGAATAAACTTAAAACATTTCACGTGGTAGAATAAACTTAAAACATTTCGCTTCGTAGATTCGCCGTAAGTAGTGTTAAGCGTATATATACATACACATAAATTACGTTTATCTGATCAGAAATGTTAGGCAATCAGCTCATTAATGTTCTGACACAGGGAGATCTTGACAACATACAAGAGCTGTCGGTAGGACAGCTACGCTCGACTATTCATAGTGCTTGATAGTAAAAAGAAATGCTTGATACAATTACCTCCTCCTTTTACAGGTTGGGGTAATGATGGTGAACAAGTGTGCAAAGTTTCAAAGCCATATGTCAATGGACTTTGAAAATATTTGAACTATTACAAAATCTTTAACGTAAATTCTAAGTCGAAAAAGGGGCATAATTCTGTCAAAATGCTTGATACAGTTACCTGCTCCTGTATACAGGCTGGGGTGATGATGGTGAACAAGTGTGCAAAGTTTCAAAGCCATATGTCAATGGACTTTGAAAATCTTTGAACTATTACAAAAACTTTAACATAAGTGGTTACACCGACGCAGACGCCGACGCCGACGCTCGGGTGACTACAATAGCACTACTTATTCTTATCGAATAGTCGAGCTAAAAATTATATCAAATGCCATAAAATGTGAAAAGATCAAGTTCATCTAATACCTAGTTATGTTTGAATAATCAAAAAAGGTTCGCACTAAAGCGGACACAATGTTTAATAAAATGTTACTTTTACTTCAATAAAAACATATGTTTTTTAAGGAATGCAACCTCTAACTTAAAATAAAACAGACACTGTAGTTCATTTGAAATGTTTTGATTAAATCTAACCTCTACAATTGTTCAGGTAATTTTACAAAATGAATATATTAGATTACTTTATTACTTAGAACATGTTTTAGATGGATTTAACAGTTTTGCCCCATTTAATTATAAATAAAATGAAATTGAGACGAATTGTAACGAACACTTCGTCCATATATTTCGTTACGTTATTATTTGCTGTAAAGTACTTTAAATTTTCAATTTATTGTTTCTAACAATATAAAAATTTTACATGTCGTGTAAATGGGTTGAGGATTGATAAGTTGCGATACCTATCAAGTAATCATTAACCAGTATAATTATTATTTATTATTATTTATTTATTATCCTCCATAATACATGAAGATTTGAACGACAATTACACAACCAGTTTTTAAATAACTACAGACAAAACAAGTATACAAATGTGATATATACATTACAAGATTACAAGACAGATTATAGATAAACAAATGCAGGTAATCTATAAAATGTATACATTGGACAGCACAATTACATGATTTGCCCCTAACTGAAAAGTATGGCACTGAGTAAGAATTAAGACGGGGAAAAAATGCTTGTATATGATTTAGACTTCCCTCTAACCCTAGTACGAAAACGAAACACTAGGAAATAGAGAGCAAGGGGAAAAATCTACAAGTTTTAATTCAATTACATCTTTATGAAAACCTAGTAAATGTATGAGTTCAGTTTATCCTTAACCAAATTATTGAAGCATAAACAAATGAGTTGTTTTTTTTATCAAAAATGTAAGTGTTTATAAGTATAGTGTTTGAGCGTTTACACAATATTTACTGGTGGATGATTTTGATAAATGCTGATAATTACGTAACCTAAAATGACATTATGTAGGCATTTTTTATAACGTGTGTAACCGCCACGTCCCGGATTGTAGCCTCAATATTTCTCCCCATAATACCAGTAAGGCGTCTTATGCCATTTTGAAGAAAATTTTGCCATTCTTGGTGCAGAACTTGGTCATGGAACCTTCAATGTGACACTCGTGCCATTCCATGAAAAGCGGTGTGTGCCCTAAACAAGAAAACAAAGGGAGGAACTAAATAAAATGGAATTTTGAAATGGGATCAGAGATTATGAAGCCTGCAATACACAGATATGACGTCAAAAGACAAATGTAAAAAACCGGCAACATATCCTTAAGGTGATTCAACATTATACAAGCAGGAATATTAAGACTTAGTCATCTAATATTGTGTCATCACATTTGTTTTATAGTATTTAAACTGAACATTTACGAAATAATTCCGCGATGAACAATCATTCTGTTGCTAAGCTACTTTTTTCTACATTTTTACACTTAAATGCAAGGACAATAAATATTTCTGAATAACAAGTTTCCAATTCTGTATGAAGAAATTCAATAATATAGACAAGAATTAAGAAATAAAAGAGAA